TTACCATGAAAGATTTCCTCAGCGTGTAGTGCCTAATAGAAGAACTTTTGTACGTCTCCATGCACGACTTTCTGAAACAGGCAGCTTTAAAAGATCGACGGTTATCATTGGAAGGCCTGCAACGGTACGAACAGTTCAAATTGAAGAAGTTGTTTTAAATGAGATTGAAGTAAATCCTCATACCAGTACTCGGAAAATAGCTGAAGAACTGAATATTACCCATGTCACAGTATGGCAGATTTTAAGAACCCAGCAGCTATATCCCTATCACATGCAACGTGTGCAAGCTCTATTGCCCAGAGATTTGCCTGTAAGACTAGCTTTTGTCATTGGTTACGCGGTAACCTAATTCCTAAGTCGAATATTGTTTACAGATGAAGCTTGTTTTTCTCGCCTTCACTACCCCACCGAGAAGGGCGATGTTAGTGAGTTCTCCGTAGTCGAGATACATACTTTCTGATAGCTCTTATTCCTTCCTGCATCTCTTGTCTTAAGCTTATGTGCCATTTATCAGGAAATTGATATTAAGGTCCATCAAATATCGCACTCGCTGACGTTCGGGCTTGTGGCAATGACTCCTGGAAAAGGCACATGCAAAAAACCAGGTTAGAACTCTCGTTGTGCAAATTATGATTTTGACGCTTTTGGCAAGCGCTTTTGGAGATGTGTCTGTGTCGCTTCCCCAAAACAAGGCATGAATACAATTTATATAAATTGTAGTCATGTGTTGGAGAAACTCCACAAAGGTTCTTCATTTTTCAAGAGGTCCTGTCGTAGCTTCCAGTAAGCGAATGATATCGTTGATCGACCTCTGCATATCTTCCATGTTCCATCTCGAAGGGGCCCCGGTGATTCCAATTGCTCAAGAAAAAGTGTTGTGGGTATAGGGGGCGACTCTTCATTTGCATGTCGTTGGTTCCTTCCATGTGGATTTAGTTCATTTTGTTGCCCTGTCTGCTCGGGTGCATTAGACGTCTTCGCGGAATGTAGCTGTTCGGATTGGTTTAACATCACCTCAACAGAGTTATCTTTGTGGAGTGGGTTTCCACCACCCCACGCATTGTTTTGTGGGGTCGGAGCTGGAGCGTATTTGTTGGGACATTTGATTTCTCTTATAAGCTCGGGATAGTTGGGCTTTTCTTCGTAGATGATACAGTTCATGCTGTTTGGGCGCATTAACAGTCTACGCCATCGGAGCCACCAAGCAGAATAACGGCCGATTCACATTTTCAATTCAGTCTCTGGTAGTATTGGTGCAATGAGAATGAGTTTAGTTGTTAATTTCATCACAATTAACAAATTTCATTTTCATTGCACTAACACACACTATAGTTTTATATTCATATGTCTGCATACCGCATATTCAATAATTCGTATTATATTACAGACGCTAATTTCTTTAGTAAAAAGTCTAATGAAATGTTTATAGAAACCGGAATATTATATCAAATCATCTACAAGAAAAATTTGTTCAGGCCAGTCTCAACTTACCTACATTGTAGGTTAATAGACTGACACCTATCAGAAAAAACTACTCCCCTGGCGAATACCACGAAGGGCGTTGAATTATATCCGACAGGTGTCAGCGAACGAATTTTTCTTGTACATAATTTGATTCACTGCCAGTCTTCAAGTATGCCACTTACTTTATCTGAAGGAATATTATATTTTTCAATAAACAACAACTTTTGATTTTTCATCGATATTAGATTATATCAAGTGAATGTATTCTTTAGTGAAATAATATTCTATTTTCAGTTAAATGAGGACGTGAATGCTTTCCAGAAGAAATTTGTAAACGAAGTGAGAAGATGCGATGAAATGGAAAGAAAATTGAGATACATCGAGGCTGAGGTGAAAAAGGACGGCGTAAAAATTCCCGATGTCAGTGAATTACCGAAAGCTCCTAATCCACGTGAAATCATTGACTTAGAGGTAAGGTGTAAAAATACGAAGTTGAAATGAAGGAACCATTGTACATTTGTTATTTTACCGCTGTATGGAAAATAAAGTTATTTCACCTCTGTATGGAAAATAAAATAATTTCAATTGCTCAGCTATACGTTTACAGGCAAACATCTTCTCATTTATAGATAAAAATGCCATTCTAAGCATTCCTTGGAATTTATAGTAAATCTCTCTCCTAAAATTTTAGTTTCCCAGGATAATAACAACATCAATTCATTCACACAAAATTTCTATGTAGTGTGATCAAACACATTCTCAAAAATATAATGGAACAAAGTGAAATATGTGCTGTGGTTTGAAAATATTGAATTTAGGCATCCGATTCACGAGCAAATTGTGATGGATTCGAACTCCAAATGAAGTGAATAAAGTTTCTGAAATTGAATAAGTTTCAGAAATAAATTCAACAGGAACTATTCTCAATAGTACCTACACCTTAGTTGCATATTTGAGATTTGGCGACGAAACCGAAGAGACATGGTTGGACCCCATTTTTTCTAATTTATGATGCCGATACGTTCTCTGTAATTTTTTTATAAAACTCAACGAAAACTCATATAAAGTGAAAAATGCAGAATGTTCGATTTCTTTTCATATGAAGGTGTTTTACTTATATTGATGTAGAAAATTTGTGAATTTCGTTCGTATGGATTAGAGTTCTTTTTCTACACCGGTTTTTTTCTATAGACTGAAAATTTTTCGCTAGTTTGTATTGAAGAATGATTGATGTTTTTGACTAAAAAAATTTTACCCTGCTACGTGAATGGTTAGAGTGTTTATGAATTATCATAATGCATTACCCAATGACCAGAACTTGGTTGATGAAACGCCTGCCAATTATACCTTTCAGCATGAATTAGTACGCTTGATGTATTACGATTGGATGAACCCCTTTCAATATATTTTCAATGGACACTCTAAAAATATTTGTTTCTGTTCTTTTTGAGGGTTGTTTGACCTGAGGGTATACTACTAATCTGTAAGTGAATTTACGGATTTGTTTTCTGACCACTTTGTCAACTGTTTCAACTGCGTTGAAACCATTATTATGACCTATCTGTGTAATGATATCAATTTCCCTAGCTAGATTGTTAGCAGACAAATGCAGTGAGAATGCTCTGTGCAACATTGAATTGTAGGCTGCTAATTTATGACTGGATGGAAACAATCGCTTGGGATGATAATGTCAGTTTTCTGAAAACATTGAACTCAAATTTATTATGATTGTGTGTAAAGGTGAGGTCTAAGCTGTTTCTCTATCTCTGTTTGGAGTGTGAACTTAATGTTGCTATTGAGATTATTCATGAATGTCATGAATTTTTTCAGCTGTCGTGTAGTACTTCTGAAACAGGCGAGAATATCGTCCACATATCTGTACCAAAAATGAATGTTTTTTTACCCAGGTCGGAATTTACTATAGGTCTCCAAGCTGTTCATAAATATGTCTGCTAAAAGTGGACTAAGGGGTGAGTTCATTGGTGAACCTGAATATTTCGTTAGTTATCAATGTCCTTGGGATATTATAGCTGATAATTTTAGGGCCTTTGACAGCAGGCAGCAGGAGGTTGCATATCTTAATGAGGATCTAGAGGTGGTTTTGAATTGGGGTGAAAGTAACTAGGTTCAAATAAATGCCACGAAAACCCAGGCATCGGTTTTATCCAAAAAATTAAATGTCTCCGAACCGTATATATTAATGTCAGGACAGACAATTCCGCTTTCTGCTTCGATTTGTTGAGGGTTAAAATGGAAACCAATATGTCTTGGCACAATCATATCGCTGGTCCGAACCAGAAAACTGTTCACACTTCAGTAACTTTCGATGCTTCATAAAACTCAGATCAGACTTTCTTTGGAGCATTGTTCACATGTACGGAGCTCTCTCCCTAAACATACCCTGAAGCTGCTGGATTCCATCCAGAATAGAGCCATTCGTCTGCTTAGAGACGCGAACATAATTTGCAACCTTGATAGTTTGGAACATCGAAGAAAGGTTGGAGATTTGTCTCTCTTTCATTGATACTTTCAAGGGAAGTGTTCAAGTGACTTGGCACATTTGATTCCACCAAGAGCGGTACATATCAGAAATACGCGACGGACTATGGCTGCTCATCGTTTTGAGGTTCAACTCAGTACACCTCAAACTTCACTCTTTGAGAACTCTTTTATTTGTCTATGTGTAATAAACTTTCTGAAAACGTTTTTCCAGATGAATTCAATCTTCAGCGATTCAAGTCCAAAGTGAATCGCTACTTTCGCACAGGTACCTTAAAGAGACTCAAGGATTTTTTGTTGTACTTGTGTTTAGTCCATTTTGTCGTGTAGTTATCAACCAAGACAATCTTTCAAAAATATAATTTATTAAATGGGACACCCAGAATGCAAGTACACCATTTGTTTCTATGTTTTCAAACTTTCTGAGTATTTTTTATTATTGAATTTATGTTGTGGCGTTGCCAACTCTTTCCAGAAAAGATTCTTCAGAAGTTTACTTTTCAGAAAACCACCACCCAAAACATCTATAGCAATTGGAAGAAATTTTTTGGGAATAATTAATTACAAACAATGATATAGGTTTTGTAAACGATATATACCTAGGGTACCAAATTGAACCGTTCAAGTTGCATCCATTTTCAAACATAAATAATTCAACATTTTCAAATGAAATACTCTGAATTTTGTCACAGCTAACAGAACCCAGATATCAATGATTTTCATTATCAATTTCAAGGTAATTGTATATCTTGTTAATTTGTGTTTTATACTTGTTAATGGGGTCAAACCCGAAACCGGTCGTATAAATAAAATCTAACAGTGGTATTAAGACTTCATTGGTAGATACCCAGTAAGTCTGGTTATTGCCCATGAGTGCTTTAAAAAATCCATTTAAGAAAGATGGAATGATTGTCATTTCAAATAGTTTTGAAATATGATCATAATCAAATGTTAGATATTTGCTGATAGAGATATCAGTGAGTGTCATCTGAGTTGGATACCATTAACGCAAATATTTTTTTGATGGGTATTACTGATAAAAATTGAAAATATTTCGAAAAAGTCAACTATTTCTTTAAACGCAAAGTGCCAATCCTTCCTTTTACGAATTTTCAACTTGTTTTTGAGTTTCTCCTGGGATTTCTCTGAAAGCTCTAGTGATTCTTGCTTTCATATCTTATGTGAAAAAATTCTTATAGGAAGTCCGTTCAACATACCGTCATAAAAATACATTTTGGTTACATTACGTGAACTGGGTAGCCACACCACTGGCCCACCCCCACCTTTCAATTTTTAATAAAAATCATCATTGAAGTTTCCCTGTAACTTAATTCTTAAATGTGGTGGTACACCGTCTTGTTCCATATGGAACATCGTTCGATAAATATGAAAGCACATACCGAAGAAATCTGACGTATCTATTTTCTTCCGGTTATATCACCATCAGAAAATTGCGGACCAAAAAATCCTTCCAAAACATTTAGTGACTAACGCTGTTGATACTTCACATGATTTTCAAAACCTCTTTCTCTGAACTCTTACAACAATTGCATGTGATAAGGATGAGTTTGCTTCAAAATTTGCATTCGAAAAACGTCGGTTTGGGAGAGTCCTAATTCATGTGGATTTTCAAATAGGTAAAGATCAATTCTTATTCATCACTGGACACGCACGTTCTGATTTTTTGTAATCAACATTTTCAGTTCATATAAAACTTGGTTTCAGAGCCTTTCCGGAAAGCTCTGTTTGAATATTCTAGATGCAAGATGGCAGGAATGATCATAGATATCCTGACTAATTATTCAACATAGTTGCTATAAACGTGCAATGGGTGATTTTTTCAAAATTGGTGAACAAAATTAATAAATAATTAGATCACAAAATGAGTATTTTGGAATAACTTGGCAATGCCGCAACGGAAATTCAAAATGAAATTTTTTTCGAAGGTAAAAATCTTTGAATCGAATGATATAGGTACACAGATAGTGGGCGTTCCTTTGAAAAAATATGATTTCAATTGGCTACGTTCACACTGTACGTGAGAAAATGATTTGAGAAGATAGTTTCAATTTCTATTGAAGAAAAGAGAATTGAAACTTTCTATATTTTTTACCAGTTTTATTTGTAACTATTGTTACTGCAGTTTCGTCCTATAAGGACATTTTCAAAATTAAACTTTAAACTAACAATGGTTCATTACATCAGCTCTTATATACCGCCCCTGTAGGTACTAATAGAGGTACTTGGCTTATTTGAGTACCTGAAATTACAGTTTACAATGCGGATGTTCCAATTTGAAAACCGGTGAGTAAATTAAATCGACTTGATCATTTAACAGGTTGCACCCGCAATGTTTATGCTTGTGAATTTCCAAAGATTCTAAATAATTGAGTTTATAACCCTTCCTTGCATAGCGAAAATTTTCCGTATCGTTCAGATTCGGAAACTTGTGGTTGCATGCCAAGAAATGGTTTGAAAACGTCGAATCATTTTTTCCTAGTATAAAGGACCTTCCATGTTCAGCATACCGTTTTTGGAAATTTCGACCACATTGTCCCACATAAACACTATTACACTCTGGACACTTAAGCTTATAAACTCCAGATTTCTTCAACTTGTCCACCTTATCTTTGGAATTGAAAATGAAATCAGATAACCTGGCATGTGGTCTGAATGCCACTTCCACATTGTTTTTTCTGAAGAAACCCGCAATTATCTCTGTTCTTTTTGAAGGTTGTTTGACCTGAGGGTATACTACTAATCTGTAAGTGAATTTACGGATTTGTTTTCTGACCACTTTGTGGATAGTATCTGCGTTGAAACCATTATTATGACCTATCTGTGTAATGATATCAATTTCCCTAGCAGCTAGTTGTTAGCAGACAAATGCAGTGAGAATGCTCTGTGCAACATTGAATTCGTAGGCTGCTAATTTATGACTGTCTGGATGGAAAGAATCGCTTGGGATGATAATGTCAGTTTTCTGAAAACATTGAACTCAAATTTATTATGATTGTGTGTAAAGGTCAGGTCTAAGCTTTTTCTCTATCTCTGTTTGGAGTGTGAACCGAATGTTGCTATTGAGATTATTCATGAATGTCATGAATTTTTTCAGCTGTCGTGTAGTACTTCTGAAACAGGCGAGAATATCGTCCACATATCTGTACCAAAAATGAATGTTTTTTTACCCAGGTCGGAATTTACTATAGGTCTCCAAGCTGTTCATAAATATGTCTGCTAAAAGTGGACTAAGGGGTGAGTTCATTGGTAAACCTGAATCCTGTTTATGAAATTTGTTGTTGAACTGTAGGTAGCTCTGATTCAGGCACACATCGAAAGCTGTTGAAACTTCAAAGAAGGGATATGGTCTACTTTGGCTTGATCTAATATGTCTAAAATGATGAGCTTACACTGGTTGTACGGTATGTTGGAGAACATACTCTTTACATGAATGAAAAATGAAACTAAAATTGAATTATGTGGCGTGGTTTCGTTTCGTATGTTTTCTACTAATGCCGATGAATTTTTAATGCTGTGAGGTAGGACGAAATTGGTAATATTTTTGAACGACTTGTTAAAACGTATTCCTAGTCTTATGTACTTGGTACCTAGTACCAGTCTTATGGGGTTATACTCTTTATGTGTTTTTATCAGGCCATATAGTTATAGTTTTGGGCAAGAGGGGTTCATGTTGGTGATTCTCCGTTTCTTTGATTGCGTGAAAATGATTTTAGTATCTGAGAGGAAATTTTCCAGTTCATTTTGACTATTTTTCGTTGTGTCTTTCTTGATGACAGTAAGGTTTTCATTTTGAATGACTGATTCAATTTTCTGAACATATGTTTCTCGTTCAAGGATAACGATGGCATTCGTTTTATCAGCTTTCGTGAAAACAAGATCATTTTTTCTTATTTTTTGTTGTATAGTTTTCATTATGCCTGTTTCTCTACTGTTTGATAAAGAGAATGGATGGTTTTGAATTACTTCATTGATCTTGTATGCCCCTATATCTCTATTACCTGTCTGTTTCAATGCAATAGCTGTATCTGTTATCAACGTATCCAAACTGTTTTTATTAATTATTGTTAGTGTATATTTCGGCCCTTTGGATATTGTTGAAATTTCCCCTTTGTTAAACTCTATTTTGGTCAAGTTAATGATTCTTTCGCTGAACTGAATATCTGGTTCGACTAATTCGCTGTGTATGACATGTTGTTGTTTCTGTATTAGTGCCCTCAGTTTTTTGAGCTGGGTTTGGTAGTTCCGGTATATGAAATCACTAATTGTAGAGCAAACTTGGTGGAGTTTATGATTAAGTTCAGAGTGTAATACCTTCAAATAATGTTACAGGATACTCCTTTTTGAGAACACTGTCCTGTACCCTTCTTTTAGCCAGATCACTCGTGCCTTCATTATCGCCTTTTCCTCTGCTGACGTTTTTGTACTGGTTCTGATGTTAATGCAATTACAAGTAAAAGTTTCAATTATTTTTTCTTCATTATGATTTCCTACCACGTAGTTACGGCTACATCCATCAATTTATTCAATTTATATATTTGCAAAAATATGCTAAATATTCCTTAATATGAGCATTGTGTTGAGATATTCTTGATGAAACCCTGTATGTTCGGTGTTGTATATGGTTATGCTGAATGAGGGTCGAAATGACTTAAATTTGGTAATTTCTGTCAGTTATTCTTGAGCGAGTAATGCTATTCATAATTTAACGTTGAAATATTCAATTTCAGGCTCATCTTGAAAAAACTGAAGGTGAAATCAAAGAATTATCAGAAAATGCGATCAACCTCAAGTTGAACTTTTTGGAACTAACGGAATTGAAACACGTTCTGGAAAAAACCCAAGTATTTTTCAACGAGCAAGATGAAGCTAACGGATTTCCTGATTCAGTTCACAAGTCGCTCATTCCTGCAGAAGACCATAACGTATCGATAAGAGGTCGTTTGGGATTTGTTGCTGGAGTGATAAATAGAGAAAAAGTGCCATCTTTTGAGAGAATGTTATGGCGAGTCTGCAGAGGAAATGTATTCCTGAGACAAGCTATGATAGAAAAACCTATGGAAGATCCAGCCACAGTGAGTAATTTTCAATCACAATAATGCGAATCATTCAATTTTATGATCACCCAAGAGAAGGTGTGACATCATTACTTAATATATACGTCGTTTTTTTAGCTGATTCTACTATTGCGGAAACGGCAAGACTTACACGGTCGGTTAATTTGGACAAAAGTTTCCTATTTTCGGTAACTAGAACATCTTTTCAGATCGAGAATATCGGTGGTGTTTTTTGAGATATTCGCCAAAAATTAGAGTTGTCGAATTTGGTTTTTTGGTTCTAGGTACCGCCTTCAGTTCGAATGGCAGAGTAAATTTCATTACTGTTTCATATTTGTGATAATCTGATTCATACCAGTTTGCAATGGGTCGTTTCGCTCATTAGATTTCATTAACTTTATTTTTTCAATTGCATTTTTTCACTGTAAAGCTGAATTTTTTTATAACAGAGGCTACAAAAATCGATGAATAAATAGAAATCCGCACTAAAAAAAAGTTGATGGAATCTAATGAATGAAAAGTCGCATGGTAAATTGTTTTCTCTCTGTATCTGTAAGATAGGGAGGGTGAGTGTTGGGCCACAGCAATTAGGTCACCCATGTGACCCATTGTACATTCTCCCGAGGAGTTGTCCTCCTAGGTCATCGTCCATCCTGTCCTTTACACTTTACAGGAAGGCGGACAGGTCACTAGGAGACATCTCCCTTATATCGGTATATGTAGGCCAAGACTCGCTGAACACACACTCTCTTATTGACGATAACTTCGGACAGTCGCATTAGACATGCCTGACAGTTTCATCATCCTGTTCACACATCCTGCATAGAGGTGTGTCCACTAGCCCCATAATATGGAGGTGTTTCCTTAGTAGACAATGGCCATTCAGAAATCCTACTGTTGAGCGTAGAATTTTCCTGGTCATCGCCAGATTTTTCTTCGGCGCTAGCTTCCCAGCAGGGTCGCCCAGGGTGATCCTGTTAAGACTGCTGCCTATGATTCCATCCCATCTTTTTAGGGATTGAGCATGGGTGTGCCATTTGGCCAGTTCCGCAATTGTCGAAGTCATCAGGCCGTAGGTGCCACTGGGTCCTAAAATTCTTAGCCCAGCCGCTTCCTTGGCTTAAAAGTCGGCAATTCGATTACCTATACTCCTGTCGTAATGTAATTATCTACTTAGGCTTTGGCTAAATCTTATTGGTTTATATTAGATAATTACAAATATGAAACGGTATTGTAAGTTCTTCTGACTTTTTTCATATCATTCGAAATTGAGGCGATAGAGCTAAAAACAAAATTTTACAATTCTAGTTTTTGGCGAATATTTCAAAAACAAACACTGATATTATCGATATGAAAAGAGATTATTGAAATTCCCCATAATAGAAAACTCATTATTTAAATCAACCGGCCTTGCAGGTCGGTGTGTCTGTGTTCGAAAAGGTTTCCGCGGTCAGCAATCTGATAATCTGAAGTCCGGGTTGAACCACGTCTCGTGTCCAACTAAAAAAACGACCTGTATAATTCTATATATCTTTTGTTTTTAAATATATTCGAAAGTGATTCTGGTTTATGATACTATAAAAGTTGATCGAGTTATATAAAATAACGATATACTTTGATAACATTTTTACGATAAATACTATAAAAGTCTTCGAACCAGATTCCTGCACTCTACCAGATTTCAAAATATTTTGAAGGTACACATTTTCTTTTTTAGGGAAATGAATACCATAAAACAGTTTTTGCGGCTTTCTTCCAAGGAGAACAGTTGAAAACAAGGATTAAAAAAGTATGTTCCGGTTATCATGCCTCTTTATATCACTGTCCGAATACAATTACAGAAAGAGAAGAGATGCTCAGAGGGGTTCGCACTCGTCTGGAAGATTTGAATTTGGTAAGGATTCTCAATCAACCGAATATTTCTGTGTCATAAATGATTATAATGCAAACTGTTCACAAAAATCATAAACAATATTTTGAATTGTTTCATCAGAACATCCGTAGTCTTTCCATAAACATAGAACAATTAGATTTTGATTATGACTGCATAGTGTTGACTAAAGCATTCATTATTGACAATTGTAGTGTTTTTCAATTCCCATCCTATAATATCTAAATAATAGTCCTCATATTCTTGCACCCACAGAAACTAAAGTCAGTGCTTCAACAAACTCCGTCAATTTTCTATATCCTGGCTATGGTTTCCACTTCCGATTCAGCTATGAATTGTTTTTCCACAATACAGGACGTTTTCTTCGTGTTGCTTCTCACGGTAGATGGTATATGCTGGTCTCATCCGGCATCGCCCGGTGAGATACCATCGCAACAGCTTAGGCAGCGTGAAGTTGCTTTCGGGCTAACGTTTCGTTGTTGTGCCGCTGTTTCCGATTTCAAGAGTGGAAATATAAGGAAAAATGGCGCTCCTAGGGTCAAAATACTCTGAAGGTAAAATAGCTCCCCAATCGGATCTCCGGGTGGAGGCTGATTCAAGGGCATCATCCTGCAGACGTTATTTGAAAACCACTATTTCTGACAGTCAGCAGGGTCTTCCTAACATCAGTCCACAGGGAAATAGCATGGTAACTGCAGTTGCTAAGAAGCCCACTGGCAACTTCAAAATCGAATACTGCAACATCAGAGGACTCAACTCAAATATAAACTTAGTGCACCAACATCTGCAATCAAATAGTCCTCATATTCTTGCACTCACAGAAACTAAAGTCAGTGATCAACAAACTCCGTTAATTTTCTATATCACGGCTATGATTTCCACTCTCGATTCAGACGTAACTTTGGAATATCTCTTTTTGTCAGAAGCGATCTCTCCTGTCAACGAGATGAAATGCTGGAACCACGAAACTTTGATGTTATGTGGTTTAAAATAATGTCACAGAAGATTATCAAATTCATATGCTGCATTTATCGACCATCAAACGATACACAATATAGGCCACTATTCTCTTCATTTGCAAACACAATTGACTTTCTGCCAGTCAATAATCCCAGTGCCGAAATTTTCAGATTTGGCGAGTTCAGTGTTCACAATATCGGATGGCTCAAATTTTCAAATATCAACGACCAACAAGGTCGCGAAGCTGAGACTTCGCGACAATAAGGACATACTCAGATTTTCAATGAGCCAGCCAGGATTCCGGACACTGATGGAGAATATGCTAGTCTTCTGGATCTATACCCAACAACCAATCCATGAATTCATACAATCACAGTAAGGTCTCCATTGGAATCTTCTTACCACAAACTCATTTCAGTGTTGAGTGAATTACCGATGAATATTGGGGAACAATCTAAGCCGCGGAAAGTTTGGCATTACACATCTGCTGAGTGGGAGTGTTTCAAGACCATTTCCGAAATTTCTCCTGCCTGTTTGTTTCAGCTCTAATGATCCATTAACTTGTGCTTCTGAAGTCACGGAAGTTATTCTATCATTCATGGATCCATATATTCCTTTTTCAACGAAACGAACTTCTAACGTGAAAATTGCGAGCAAGCTGTCGCCTCCAAAAATCTTGCCTACCGGCAGTGGCGCAAAACTCCCAGTGTCGGAAACCGAACTAGATTTGTCAATGCTCGCAACAGGTGAAACTTATGATAAACTGCTTGCCAACGGTGACCCAATGGGTCTAGATCTTTCTGGTCGGTAGCTAAAGCTGTTATTCAAAACTTTACAAAATCCACAATATCTCTCGAATTCTTTTACCATCAACGCCGTTGTTTCCCAGTGATCCATATTGTCTCCAACCCACTTTTAATTGTATATCAACGACTTATTAGAAAAAACGAAGAATCCAATATATTGCTTTGCTGATCACAGCACACTTGTCTCGTTATTTCATTTGGATTTCAAGACATCGGCTGTGGATGCACATCTTCACCGCCAGCAGGAGATTGCATGTCTTAATGAGGATCTAGAAGTAATTTAGAATTGGAGTGAAAGTGACTAGGTTAAATACAATGCCACAAAAACCAAGGCATTGATTTTCTTCAAAAAGATAAATGTCTTAAGTTTGAAACACTGTTCCAAACCGGAAAACTGTAAACACCTCAGTAACTTTTGATGCTTATAAAAGCTCAGATCACACCTTTTTGCGAGTATCGTTCTCATGTATGATGCTCCGCCCCTAAGCATACCCTGAAGCAACTGGATACCATTCAGAAAATAGCCATTCGCCTGATTAGAGACACGAACGTCACTTGCAACCTGGACAGTCTGGAACATCGAAAAAAGATTGGAGATTTCTTTCTCTTTCATAGATACTTTCACGGGAAGTGTTCAAGTGTCTTGACACATTTGATTCCACCAAGAGCGGTACATATCAGAAATACGCGACGGACTGTGGCTGCTCATGTGGAATAAACTTCCTGAGAACGTTTTTCCAAATGGATTCAGTCGCCATCGATACAAATCGAATGTGAATCGCTACTTTCGCAGGCACCGCTCTTAGAGCTCCTCAAGGATTTTCCTGTAGTGCTAAACAAAAATGATGATCAAAAAAATCATTCAGTTGTAGTGTAAAAATAATTCTAATTGACGGGAGTAAGGTTCTACAATCGAAAATATAGATCAGTGATTAACAAAACGCACATTTAAGATCTAAGTGTAGGTCACCATCCACAAACGACGAAAATTTTGGACACATTTTTGCGGGGTTGAAGAATTGTTCACCAATAAAATATCAAAAACCTCACGACTTTGATTTTTTCCATGTGATGATATTTGTCGCATTCAATTTCTGATGGTGAAAGCACTATGATTCAAATTCACATTTGGCGACATTTGTCGCATTTAATTTGTGATGGTATACCAATAAACATCAATATCGAAAAGCTGTTTAGTATTCAATATATTGCTACACTTGAGTTTTAGGGATTTTTCAGAAACAGTTTAAAAATGCATTCGCGGTGTAGCCTAGTATCACTGATGAGATCTACGGCAGATCTCATCAGTGATATTCCTCATTCGGTGGTCGATGTCAATACTAGCTTGGCAACTACTAGCCCTGGAGACCCTTGTTTCTTTTGGTTTCAATGGCATCGATTACTATGGTCATCAGCTTCGTGTCCTGGGTTGGCTATAATAATCACTCCCCCAGCGTACTTTGAGAGTATCATAGACATTTGCAGCCCTGTCAGTCATGAATATTATATAACTGACCGATACTTGATGAAAACTCATTATAACGTATTCATAAAGACACACTTTAATGAAAGCTTTCCACTTTTCCGAAGCGAAACGCGTGACGCGGATTTGTGAATTTTCAAGTAGAAATCTTATATTAAAATGTGTTTCTTCAATATGTTTGTCAGATAGTGTACGCGTACCAGAATCGAACCAACTTCAATTAAAAAAAAATCGGAAAAATGATACTGGCCGAAGTTGGGTACGAGATTAGTACCCAACGTAAGCACTACGCCTTTTCATCGCTAAAGGACCCTTGATTTTCTTGAATGAGCAGAGTTAAATTTACTAGTTGATACCATATAAAACTAATGATTAGACTTCGTATGAATACCACGCCACCAATGCTATTATACAATGAAACTGCCGTCATTTGGTAACTATGAAATTCGAATTTACTTTTTCTATATCTACCATACATCGTGTATCAATGTTTTTGGTATAATCACAATGCCAGCTTTCCTGTAAATTTCACGTATCAAAACACGTATAAAAACATGAAAATTACTCAACTGATAAGCACGACTGATATCCAAAGACAGTGAAGATAACTATTAAGTGAAAAAACCATGTCAACTCAGAATCGAAACCTAGCAGTTTGATATTTGGCACATTGACAATAATTTTTCAATTCAGCCGCAATACGAATCATGAAAACTTTTATAAGTGAAGTATTTTTTAATATATAATCTAAGATTCCAGTATGCCAAGTTCTTCGACCTATTCCATGGCTTCAATGAAGGCAAATTAGTACCTACAATTAAAATTTTGTCAAAGGCTTGCTCAACTCTAAATAGTTTCACACCAATTCCAATTGAAAAAGTGATTATCCGAACTTGTGTTTCAACATATTGGAAACATCATATTATTTATTTTTCATCCCTTTCAGGTCTTAAATCAAACCCGAGATCATCGACAGAGAGTACTTGTAAGTGTAGCAAAAGAACTTCAGAACTGGAGTATAATGGTTAGTAAAATGAAGGCCATTTATCACACACTGAACTTTTTCAATATGGATGTAACTAAAAAATGTCTGATAGGGGAATGTTGGGTTCCTTCTAATGATATACCTATTGTACAAAAAGCCTTAGCAGATGGATCGGTAAGTTAGACAAGATAACTTTCGAAGAAAATACTGTGAAATATAAATACTTCTATTTAATTCACCAGAACGCTTGCGGTAGTTCCATTCCATCATTTTTCAATGTGATCAGTACCAACGAGGATCCCCCAACATTCAACAGAACCAACAAGTTTACAAAAGGTTTCCAGAATCTTATCGACTCGTATGGAGTTGCTTCTTATAGAGAGGTCAATCCAGGTAACAATACATCTTCTCTAGATACATTATTTCTGAGTTTGCGAAAACTGAGGCAAAAATAATATGATGTGAATATTATGTGATGTGATATAACTGGAGTTTTTTCCCAACACTAAACTGTTATTTTAACACCTCGGCGCGTGTTTCGATCACCAAGTGGTCATCTTCAAGACGAAGATCAAACTAATCCTACTTACAGTTATCCTTATTTATCTCATAGGTACCTCTTCTAGGTACCTGCGTCTTAAGTGTCTTGAATAAATTTCACAATATTGCCCTATCTACTAGTCTTGAATTAATTTCACAATGTGTCCTTATGTAATAGTCAGGTAAATCTAATATTAAATTTTAACAACAATGGAATGACTTTCAGAGAGGAATCATTCGGATGATTGAATCAAAATGTACCAGCAAAATGTGTACCCTGAATAAGAAACTCAAAACCCTTATATCTAAGAATAAAACAAAAGAAGACACTTCCAAAAGTCATAAATATTGTCAAAAATCATTCATCAAAATCGTTAATAAGGAAGAGATTAACCTTTTGAACAACGGTCTAAAATTTGGCATTCCGTCTTACGAGAAAGTCCTTGAGGATATCGTTGCTAGTGTTGAAAGTTCGATTCAATATATGCCTGATTCCTCGAAAGGACTAGTTTAGGAGAAAGTCAGGAATCAAATCTCCAGGAACATGATGACAGATAAACGAAAAAAAGACGATAAAAACCAAAAGAAACTTATCAAACAATTGAAAGACAAAGATGTTTTTTATTTGAAAGCCGACAAAAGTAACGAAGTAGTAATTCTGGATACTACTGGATCGAACTACTACGAAAGGGTCAGTACTCTCATCACTAACGGAGCGTATGCAAAATTGTTCAGGAACCTGTTACCAAAGATGATTGCCGAAGTAAAAGACGTCCTCAAGAAATGCGACAACTTACTTTACTCCTCAACTGAAACGGAACATACAAGTTTCTAACTCAACGGTGTCAAAACTACATTGCCTCCCAAAAATCTACAAACCGAGAAAATCAATGCGCCCCATCGTGCCAACTATTGGATCTCCTACCTACCAAATATCAAACTAAGGAATTTGAAGGCTTGTCTATTGCGTAACCAGGTTTTAGTATAAAAAACTCCTTAGAGTTCATACAACATACAAAAAACATAGTTCTGCAAGAAGGTGAGGTTTTGGTTTCTTTTGATGTTAGTTCCTTATTTCCTAGCATCCCAATTCCACAGACCTTACAATACCTCAGGGAATTACTAGGGAAAATAATTTTAATAATAACGACTCATCACTAACGGAGCGTATGCAAAATTGTTCAGGAACCTGTTACCAAAGATGATTGCCGAAGTAAAAGACGTCCTCAAGAAATGCGACAACTTTCTTTACTCCTCAACTGAAACGGAACATACAAGTTTCTAACTCAACAGTGTCAAAACTATATTGCCTCCCAAAAATCTACAAACCGAGAAAATCAATGCGCCCCATCGTGCCAACTATTGGATCTCCTACCTACCAAATAGCAAACTAAGGAATTTGAAGGCTTGTCTATTGCGTAACCAGGTTTTAGTATAAAAAATTCCTTAGAGTTCATACAACATACAAAAAACATCGTTCTGCAAGAAGGTGAGGTTTTGGTTTCTTTTGATGTCAGTTCCTTATTTCCTAGCGTCCCAATTCCACAGACCTTACAATACCTCAGGGAATTACTAGGGAAAAATAATTTTAATAATAACGAAATTGATGAATTCATTTCTCCCACTAATATGTGTATGATACAAAAGGTAGAAGGTTGCTTTCATGAACAACAGTAGAGAACGGATATGGGTAACCCCTTTACAAAGACAGACTGTCTATGGACATGTCGAAAGATTTGTAAAACATGGGGTTTAGGTCTCAAACAAATCCATTGGATTTATGTGATGATTGTCAGACGAATGATCACTTATGGTGCAGTTGCTTGGTGGCCGAAGGCTTTACAGAAAACGGCCCAAGCGAAGCTCTCTGGCTTACAAAGACGGGCTTGTCTGGCTATCTGTGGTGTCATCAGTACCACACCCTCAGCGGCCATAAATATCCTTCTAGATCTACCTCCTCTACACATTTTTCGGGAGAGAGAGGCTAGATAGACTGCATACAGACTTGTGCACATTGCCAATTGCACAAATCAATTTAATGCAGAGTATGACAGACTGTTGGTTGACACTGGAAGTCACAGCATTCTGGAAATGACTTCTGACTTTATGCCTTCAACTGTCAACTACGAATTGCCTAATAAAGTACCATTCCTGAGTAGAGAGGACTGGATAGTTGTTGCTTCACAGATGGATCAAAAACACTTTCCGGTTCTGGTACAGGTGTTTTTAATCGCAGACCCAGGACAGAAATATCTACCTACCTAGCCTAGAAATTTATGCGACTGTATATCAAGCGAAAATTCACGCTATTGAATTGTGTGCGGAGAGATTGGATAAATCCAACCTCGCATACAAGTCAATAAAAATATTCTCGGATAGTCAAGCGGCGTTGGAAGCTCTTTTCTCCTACCGAGTAACGTCTAAATTGGTATCAAATTTCCAAAAACGACTCTCCTTGATAGGAAGACTTAACAGATTCTCTCTGGTCTGAATTCCTGGCAATAGTGGCTTGGAAGGTAATAGAGCTGCTGACTCTCTTGCAAAGGACGGTGCTGCAAGCGGGTTTATCGGACCAGAACCTGTCATTGGCATCGCTTTGGGCTTTGCCAAACAAACATTAAACACCTGGATGGCAAGAAAATGTATGGACTTCTGGCAGGCTATTCCAGGATTGGCTCACTCCAAGGCGTTTATCAACCTTTCGAAGCTTGATACCAAACAGTTGTTGGACTACAGTAGAGATGAACTACGATGTCTAACAGGCCTTCTTACAGGTCATTGTCATTTGAATCATTNGTTAAAAGTCGTAATTATGTAAAAATAAGTATATGTAAAAATAAAACAACATGGATTTCTTGCGCTTTCGTAAAAATAATACTTTTTTTCAAAAAATTGCTCCTATGATTTTGAACGAACACTGAAAATACCGATGTTGAAAATAACCTACCTGAATATTGTTTTACTTTTGATTGATTGCGATAATATCTGAAAATTATTTTTTATTTCCAGCTTTGTACTCAATCGTTACCTTCCCGTTTCTATTTGCTGTAATGTTTGGTGATTGCGGACATGCAATCATTATGTTTGGTTTTGGCTTGTGGATGATTCTCTCCGAAAAGAAAATTGCACTTCAAAAAAATAAGAGTGAAATCTTCAGTATATTCTTCGGAGGTAGATACATTATTTTCTTAATGGGCATTTTCTCTTTCTATACTGGATTTCTGTATAACGATATATTTTCGAAGTCAATGAATATATTCCAGAGCAGTTGGTTTGTGAACGAAACATCACTTAATCATTCAATCAATGACAATGATATCAATTTCATTCCTAAAGCAAATTACTATGGAACACCTTACTTCATTGGAGTAGATCCAGCGTGGCAGGTAAGCTATTTCATGGGAAATTCAACTCACTATCTTCACTTTAATGCAAATAATACGAGGATATCTTTAATTCTCCCTATACTGGTTCGGTACAGAGATTACTGAAGTCATTATCTCAATATCAGTCTTCTCAAAAATAATAGAAAAATACTTAAACATCATATCAACTCTTATTCGGAAAAACACAAGTTTTACGACAAATCGCAATTTGGATTCCGCAAAGAACGTTCCACAATACAAGTTGTTTTTGAATGTCGTAAGAGATATGGTCGAGGGACTTGAACAGGGCACTTATACGTAAGTCACGCTTTGTGACCACTCCATACTATTCTCGATTGTGTCTCTCATGGCATACTACTGGAGATATTATACTACTATTGTTTCAGAGGGGTATCTTTGTTTCTCATTGAGACATATGTATCAAATTGACTGTAATAAATCAATATTTCAATATGAACTGGTAAAGCATAAGGTGCCTCATAGATTAGTATTGGGGCCATTGCTATTGCTATATTTCT